GTTTTTCTATACTTGGTGCTAATGCTGATGATGGAAAAAGAAGAACCGATGTTCCAAACAAGGCTGCCTATTCCTCCTCAAATAGAATCCTGGTTTCTCAAATGTGATCTAATTCTCAAGGTTTAAAAATATGTTTCTGTGCTAATGAGGAAGCTTCCAAATGCAGATGTGACGGTGCAGTGCCACTTTTAATTAGGGAGCAGCGTGTTCTAGCCTGATGGAAACACCTTCTCCTGGCAGGATGGATATCCCCTCCCCCCAGTTAAAATTCATGTTTCCTACATTTTAAAAGGTGACAGCTGATAAGGATATTTATAAACTTGGCCTGTGTTTTCCAAGCTTTGTGTAGAGATCAGGTACTTAATTTAGAATTTGAATAAGAGATAATTAAAATAAGATTTGAGTAGTCAAAGGGGTTGGGTAGGGATGCATTTTTTTTCATGCATGACGAAAGAAGTTCAGATGCTTAGCACAATATGGATGAACCTTGAAAAACATTATGCTGAGTGAAATACACCAGTGGACCAAGGACAACTATCATATGATCTCACTTACCTCAAATAAGCAACTCTATAGAAACCCAAGATGATTCATGACTACCAGGGGGTAGGGAGACGAAGAAAGGGGGCAGGGAGATTTTGTGTAAGAGGCATGGCCTTTCTGTGAATGGTGGCCAACAAGGTTGTGCCCAGGGTCGCACAGCATGAAGAACGCAATTAAGGTCACTGCATTATATACAGAAATAGTTGCACCAGAGAGTGACGTGTATATTTGGCCACAATTAAAACAGATCAAAGAAAACAAAACTATAAAAAGGAGGTTGGCTGCTGCCCTAGCCTCAGAACCAGGGCCGTGTGGGAGCTTGGGAACGTGCTTCCTCAGTAAGAGAGAGGGCCACGTGTCAGTAGCTCCCAACTGGCCTATCTTGGCGGAAATGTAAAGCGATAGGCAGGCCCCATTTGTCATCACGCTGACAAGAGGCGAAAGGCCCAGCCCAGCAGAGGACAGATCTGTTGCCTGAGCTCCAGGAAGGAAGCCTTTCGAGACATGTAGTATGTTTGCCAGATGAAGATAACGGGAAGTGGCCCCTTGCCCCCAGGAGGGGACAGCAGAAATAATGGCCTTGGTGGGGACCTTGGCTTCCATGTTTTGCTTCTCTGGCCTTGAACTCTATCAGAAGGAAATGCCTGAACATTCAGGGACCTTTCGGACTAGTCAGTGTTTTGCTCAGACACATTCACCTGCTCAAGAGCACAATGCAGTAGAATGGAATCAGGGAGGATGTGGGAGCCCTGTTTGCATGCTCATGTTTTGCAAGTTGGTTGTTTTCATTAGATGCAGACCCATGACTCCGTACTTCCAACTCACGTCCCATGAACGGAACCAGACACTGCCCCATCCCGAGCTGCTGTGAGCTCCCGTGTTTACTGGCTTATTTTTGGAAGCAGATCTCCAACCCTTGCTCCCTAGCCTATCTTTGTCTGCAAGTGACACTGAACCCTGTTCAGCATCATTGCAGGCCCACTGACACACAGGTGGTGGCTGTGTACGATGGGGTATGTTGCCTGGGAATCACATGTGCATTTCCCTCAAAGAAGGTGAGAATTCTACCACAGGACTCCCAATGGCCCACCATCCCCCTTTATAAGCCACCCTTCTCTCTACTCAGGGCTCAGAGAAAAGGTGCGATTTTATTCATCTTTCAGTATCAGAAGTCCTTTTTGCCTGAGTTTCATTCATTCACTTATTCTTAAAACAATTAACAAGGGCCTTCTTTGTTGGAGATCTATTTCCAACAAATGATCTCGATCTTTCCAACTATGTCCACTCTATTAGCATGTTCAAATCTTTACGCTAGTTTCTAGTAGAGGTCTTTTAACTCCCATCTGACAGATACGGAGTCTGAGGTGTGAGCAGGAAATGAGTTCCCAAACGAACGAGTGCTAGAGTTCATTTAAACTGAGGGCTTTGAGGAGCGGGCCCAGGGTTCGTTTGTCCTCTGTGGGCCATCATGTACGGTGTTGGGGATGGTGGCTTTCATACTGAGTTTGAGACCAAGCCTTTTCTCATCTAGAGTGTGTTTCCTATACTAGAGTCACAAATTAATTTTGGTGAGTTAGAAAACAAGAAAAGGAAAGCTAAAGGTCCTTTTTGTTCTATCAGGAGGCTACGAAAGCTGGCTGTCATGGTGACCACATTTGATGCTAAACGAACCCTAGAGTGAATATCCAGTCCTTGCAATCTGGAAGTTGGGGTCAATCGCTTTAAAGGACGTCACATCTGTGTGCTTGTCTCTGGTGTGCTTAGAATCACACTCGGGTCAAAGCTAGCTGAGAGTAAGTTATGGAGGGGGTGGTAGTTACACAATGTGTCGTCAATTTGAGCCTGAAGAGTGAAGGGGTGGAGTTTGGCCTGACAGTCAGGTTGTACCTTGATGACCTCATTTGGAGGTGCTAAGGAGATAAATACCTCGCTGGAGGCGAGATAAATGCTCAGTCCCTGTGAGACATTCTTGTGGACAAGACACATGGAGCTAAGCTAGAGCCTTGGATCTGAGGGAGCCATGTGGAGACCCCTGCCAGCGCTGAGATGCCTCTACCACCACTGGATCCACAAGAGTTCCCACCCACTGGCCTGTGATCTTCCTGTGTTTGGCATCATGGTGTGTGTTTCATGAGACTGAAGAGGACTTTATCAATTGATATCAGACATATGGGCTAATATCAGACTTATGGACTTGATCTGGACTGGGCTAGGATTTTCTTAATGTACCATTACTCTTTATATGAAGCTCTTTCTTATACACATGAGTGTCTATGAATTTGTTTCTCTAGTCAACCCAGACTAACACAGAGGGCGAGGACAGAATATTCTAAACCCCAAAACCTTGACTTTTTCAGGGCAAAGACCATCATCTTGGCATTGACTGGAAGGACATAACTATCAAAAGAGAATTTGGAACCCTCTTTTGAGGGTCTCTTTTTCAGCAGTGGGACACAGGACAGCGCTGACCTTGAACCTGCTTATATCACTTAGAGCCCAAGAGAACTCAGTGAACGATAACCCTTCTGAGCCTTTAAGTCCTAATAGGAAAACTGAGGATAGGCATATCTATGTCAAATATTTATTCTAAGTATTAAATCAGATGATATGGGCCTCTCAAAGTATCAAATATTGTGCATTGATCACAGAATTCTCGCCTCCTAAGTAAGAGACATGGATTTAATAACTGGTCAATGCATCATATGCTCAGCCACTGCCCATCTGTCAGGGGAAGCCCACCTGTGGCTAGGATGCTGAACAGGTTTTAGTGGAGGGCCAGGCTGGGAAGAAACCCCCGGCGATCTAATTACAAAAAACAGCCCATGAAACTCCTATGGGCTTAGAGAGTGTAAGGAGCCCTGGGGGCATAGTGGGTTATAGTTAGGCTGTTAATCACAGCATCAGAAGTTCCAACCCCCCCAGATATTCTGCAGGACAAAGATGATGCTGTCTGCTCCCATAAACCATTTCAACCTCGGCAATCCGCAAGGACAATCTGCTCTCACCTTGGCTGCTACACATGAGTCAGAAGAGACTCTCCATGGCAGTGGTTTTGGCTTTGGCTTTTGAGACTGCAATTATAATAAACCTGCTTAAAAGAATGCATAGCCCAGTAGTCTCACTTCTCTTTGGTCGTATATGTAATATTAATACAAACAAGTGTCTCTTCCAATTACCCACTTCTCTGACTTGTTACAGACTTCCCCTAAAGAGAGATTTATAACTTCATGAAAATTAATTTCTCTATAAAACTCGACAGGACAAAAAAAAAAGATTTTGTGCAAATAGATAGAAATGGAGCTTTCTAGAAAAAGATGCTCACATTCTTCTCTGATACGTCTTCCTTCATCCAGAGTTATTATAAATAGGACACCGAGAAGCAAATATCAAAGTCCAAGAAAAGTGTGTACCACTTACCCATGCAGTCTGGGCCCCAGTATCCTGGGCAACATTGAGGCTGGAGGTAGTCCTTCCTACAGATATGGCGGCATCCGGGGAGAGCTCGAGAGTAGCCTCTGACCTCAAATGTGTACCTTGAGGGTGAAGAGAGAAAGAACACCCATGATCAAGGCCATGCATTTAATTCTAGGAGATAGTGCTGCCCTAGATTTTCATGTATTCTTTACACTTAAGAAGTATCATTTCCTTAAAATGCTATCTTGACACAGTCTTGAGGCTTCAGATGAAGGCCAATCCATTCTCCGTTATGAGCAGCTGCTATGCCCATTACCAGGTTCTCACACTCCTGGACCGCTATAAACTATGTACCCATACTAGTCATCCGAGGCCCAGGTACTCAACAGCTTGAGACAGCCCTATGCTCAAAGAGGCTGGGGAATAATTGTAAATGCCCAATTCCCAGGAAGTCCTCACTTCCTAGCTAACCCCACCCTTCTTGCCCTGCATAATTCTTCTCTTATAATGTCAGCTTGTTGTTATCTCTTCACCAGGTGCAAACTCCTGTGTGACCATGAGTCATGGCCTGCAGTACTGCCCCATCTCTGGGAAGTGTGAGCATTTGAAACCTAATGACTTTTCATGACCTTCCTGACTCCTCTTTCCTGTGTTACACCATCCCGCAAGTCTGTTACAGCAACTTACCTAGATTAACAGATATTATTAGTTATAGACATACATGTATGCACATATATGTATGTGTAGAACACATTTGGCGTTCTAAGTAGAATACAAATCAAAATGATTTTAAATGATAAGTAACTTAACAACCAAGGCATGATGAAAATAGGGGTAAAATATCTAAACTGTTGTCAGAAGCCAAGCTGGTAGATAAATGATGTTAAGTCGTAGGCATATGCTAGAGGTGGGGCTCAAACCAGACTAAATAGCCTGGCGCTACATGCGAGAGTTACGTTATCTGTGGAACGGAAACAAATGGGTCGCTTCTTGGGATCAGCGCCTTGATTGCACTTCCTGCCGAGGTAGAACGTTCTGTGGCAGAGGTGGTGTCATGGAGCAAGCAACTTGCCGCTACGCTCTCATGTGGACATCATCACGGCCCTTAGAACAGCTTCTTGTAGCAGCTAAGGTACAGCTCTGGAATAACCATTCTATGGAGGTGAAAGGTTATTGTCTGTTTACATGGGTCTCTGCAGTAAAGACTGGTCCCAGGGTTAGACATGAAACGATCAAAAAACAATCCTCCAGTAATATAGTTTCTTTTCAACTGGACATTTGATAAAAATTGTGGCTAGTACCTTTAAGGTTGTACTCCTGAGCCAGCCCACGGGCCATAGTTGGTAAGGGCAGAACAATATACTTTGTGGGCAGTCAAGGTGGGGACAGGGCAACATTTTCTGAGAATTTGGATAGAGACAGCTTTGCATAAAGGCAAGTAAACAGAGAGCTGAGGGGCAGAGCCAAGCGTTCCCTCAAAAACCAAACTTGGGTCTGTTACGACATAAACGAAGGACGGATTTAAGTCTTCAATTCTAAAACATGGAGATGGATGCAGCGATTTTATCGTGTGTGTGTGTGTGTGTGTGTGTGTAGTGAGTGGACCATAACCAAGTGCCCCCTTAGCCATGAATGAAACATTAGCCAGGAGAAAAGAGTTCTCAGGAAAGCAACCATATAATCTTAACCCCGAGTGCTATGTAACTCTTTGAGAAATTGATGGCAAATATGTGCCCCCTTTATCACTGATGGGTCAATCAGCCTCTAGACTTGGTAATTCCAGCTCAGCTAATTGGAAAAAGTCACTAGAGATGCTGTCTTTGGTTCTAAAATACAGTGCTGACATGGTATGTGAGCATGAGTTTGTATTAGTGTGGTAAGTTCTCATTTTGTGTAAAATTAAAACATGACTAATTCATTTCTGAATTAAAAAAACAAAACAGAACTGAAGTGTTGCCGAGTAGACTGAAGTGTTGCCGAGTAGACCGAGTAAAAGAAATGCTGTGTCTGGCTTCCTGGCTGCACCTTGAGCTGATGAGCAGAGTCTACCTGATGTCTTTTGCAAGATTGTCTGGATTTATAAGCGTTTGAATCATAAGAGGTCCTCAGGATTGCAGCACTCACATAAACTGCAACCGTATGGTAGTTCTCTTGCTCCCCTTCTTTTGGGTTCTTATAATCTCAGGACCCATCGCTAGTTGTGACATGCCTGTTGGACCCTTTCTGAATGACACAACATTCAGATTTACAAAATAAGAAGGGCAATGTAGTGCAAGCAACAAAAGTGCAGCCAGGAAGCCAGACACAGCATTTCTTTTACTTGGTCTACTCGTCAACACTTCAGTTCTGTTTTGTTTTTTAATTCAGAAATGAATTAGTTATGTTTTAATTTTGCATAAAATTTTACCACACTATTACAAACTCATGCTCACTTACCATGTCAGCACTGTATTTTAGAATCAAAGACAGCATCTCTAGTGACTTTTTCCAATATTGTATGGAAATGTTAATCAATAATAGCATAGGCCATAGACACAAGATAATAAATTTGGGCCCAGTGTAATTTTAGAGTAAGAACATTCATAGAAATGTTTTGTAGATTTTGAAACTAAAAATTTTCACTTAGATTCCCAATCTCCCGAATTCCTCCAGTCAAGCATAATTAGTATCAAATAACCAATACCTGCAGTCTCGAACCCCTACAGAGCCATTGGTAATCTTGACAAACCCATCTGGGCACTTGGTTCCAAAGTTGAGTGGGCAGGATCGGCATTCAGTTCTGATTGTCATGAAAGACTTAATATCACATCTGTTTGCCTGTGTAAACATAAAAAGAACTTCAGGTCCCTTTACCAAAGCCTTTCAAAAATGTCACATTGGCAGATCTTCCTTATTAGCGTCATTTCAGTTGGATGGCAGGGATAACACAGAGATTTTTTGGGAGGGACTGACCTACAGCTTCAACCCCATCTGGAGAGAATGTTGGGATCAATATCTTCCATGGCTGCGAGTGAAGGAAGAACCAAACCCAAACCAAAGTCATTACCACCGAGGCAATGCTGACTCTTTATGACCCCACAGGACAGGGTAAAACTGCCCCTGTGTGTCTCCAAGACTGTAACTCTTTATGGAAGTAGAAAGCCCAATTTTTCTCCTTGGGCTGGTTAGTGGTTTTGAACTTCTGACCTTGCAATTAGGAGCCCAACTCATAACCACTATGCCATCAGGGCTTCTATCCTAGGTGTTAGTGAGCTGAAATAAACTGACATTGGCCATTTTGAGTCAGGAAATCATATGGTTTACTATACTGGGAATGATAAAATTACGAGGAATTGTGTTGCATTCACCATCAAAAAGGACATTCCAACATCTACCTTGAAGTACAATTCTCTCTGTGATAGGATTGTATCTATTCTCATTCAAGGAAATACAATCAATACAATTATTATTCAAATTGATACACTGACCACTAAAGTTAGTGATGAAGAAACTGAAGAATTCTACCACCATTTTTAGTCTGAAATCGATCAAATATGCAATCAAGATGCATAGATAATTATTGGCAATTGGAATGCAAAAGTTGGAAATAAAGAGGAAGGAATAGTAGTTGGTGACAGAAATGAAGCTGGAGAGGGCATGAATTATACACATGACTTCTCTAGATGGAATACCCAGAAATCAGATCGATTACATTTGTGAGAAGAGATGCTGCAGAAAATCAGTATCAGCAGCTAAACCGGACCCAAAGTTGAGTATGGAACAGACTGCCAATTGCTCATATGCAAGTTCATGTTGAAACTGAAGAAAAGGATAACCAGTCCATGAGAGCCCAAATCCAATGTCGAGTCTATCCCGCCTGAATTTGTAGAACATCTCAAGAACAGATTTGCTGCATTGAACACTAATGACAGGGACCTGAGGACATCAAGGACACCATTCATGAACAAAAGCCAAGGGTCATTAGCAAGACAGGAAAGAAAAGACAAGGTCAAGGTGGGTGTTACAAAAGACCGAAACTTGCTAAGGCCAGTGGAAGACACGATGAACACGGGGATCCAAACAGAAAAGGTCAAAGGGTAGCTTGACAAGACCACGCCAAATAGCATGACATTTGAAAGGACCTAGAGTTAGAAAAACAAAAAGGCAGAAAAGGCTCAGCATACCTTAAACTGAAAGAGCTCAAGAAAATTCCATCGCCGAGTTGCCTACGGAAAGATTTTATGAGCAAACTATCGAGTGCTGCAGGAGGCGTCAAAAGAAGATGGGAAGGAGACACAGAGTCACTGCACCAAAACGAGCTAGTCAACATTCTGCCATTCATTTCAGGAACTAGCATTTTGAAGGAAGGATTCAATGGTTTCATATGCATGTGAAGAAGGTGGGGCACTGAACAAAGAGGGCTGAAGAAGCGTCAATGCATTTGAAGCATCCTGCTAGAGAAGAGTGCTGAAAGTCCCATGGGTTGCCAAAAGAACAAACCAATCTGACTTGGAAGAAGTAAGGCCAGAGTGCTCCTGAGAGGCAAGGATGGTGAGACTTTGCCTTATGGACCTTGGACATGTTGTCAGGAGAGACCAGTCCTTGGGGAAGGACATCCTGCTCACTAAAGCAGAGGATGAACACAGCGGCTGCACCAATTGGCTTCAACATAGCAGCCATTGTAAGGCAGGTGAGGACCGGGTACTGTTTTGCGCTGTTGTACATAGGGTCTCTATGTGCCTGAACTCACTCGATGGATGGCACCTAACAAGTGGAGAACATTGAGTGAATTTCTTACCCTTCACTCTCTTCAATGAGAGGAAGATATTAATATACACCCTCAAGCTTATAATGACCCTTGGGTAGTGCAAATGACTTTCAGTTCATTACTAATGGAAAGTTTGGGAGTTTGAATCCATTCGTTAGCACCATGGAAGAATGGTGGAAAACCATACAAAGCTCAGTTCTTTTCTGTAACACACTGAGTCACCCTGAGTTGGAATCAACTCCGTGGTAATGGGTTCTTCTTTTTCCTCAGGTATTGAGAGCTTTAAATACTATAGCCCATCCATGTCATATCAGAGGCTGTACGTGCTGGTCCCTCCAAGTCTTCCTCACCCTCACCTCTGTGGTTCCTTGGTGCCTCTCCTTGCCTCCTCGATTGTTGCTGTTGGGTGCCCTTGAGTTGGTTCTGACCCGCAGCGACCTTTTACACAATAGAATGACACACTGGGCCATCCTCACAATGGTTCCTGTGCCTGAGCCCATTGGTACAGCCACCGGTTCATCCATCTCGTGGAGGGCCTTCTTCTTTGCTGCTCCTTCACTTTAGCAAACATGATGTCCTTCTCCAGGGACTCGGTTCCCCACTCCAGAGGAGGTAGCCACTGAACACCTTATGCCTAGCTTTACCTCTTTGACACACAACGTATATTGTCCCAGATCCTGTTTAATTTTTTGTCTTCTACAACACTACACCTGTATCTCTTCTTTCCCCCCAACTTCTCTTGTTCTTGTGGTTAGTCTCATGAAGCACATTTTGTTAGTCATTTCTCTCCACTTAGGAACCCCTGGCAGACAGGGCTCATGTCCCATCCTTCTTTGTCAACCTTCAGCTCATCTTTCAGCCCCAGTCCTCGGCACGGCATTGGGGAGATGTCACAACTATGTCTAAGTCCATTGGAAAATGGAATGTTCTCTGCAGGAGATTTTACATTCTCCAAGACAGTGATGGCAGCGTTACTTCAAAAGCGATATCTTATTTGATCAGCATTCTAAAGATGGATGGGGAAGGTACTGCCATCCCCAGTGTAAGGAGGAGAAAATGGAAATGAGAGTGTGGGGAGAGTCAAGGACTTGCCCAAGATCACACTGTGAATTAATAGTCTTCTGATTCTCCTGCTTCCTCATTTAGCTCCTTTCTCTCCCACGTACCCCTGTAGCCTATAGAAAAACAACCCCCCTTTGTTCTGTTTTAAGATAATCATGAGGGACCATTGGAAAGGTCCTTATGAAATAAAGTGTTCTTTATTAATCATTTCATTCAAGAAATAATAATAAGGTCATCGTTAAATACATTTTTAATTAACCTTGTTTAACTGTCACGATTTGACCTCTATGTTTCTTTCACACTGGTAGTCCTGGTGGTGCTGGTGGGTACGTGGTGGACGGTTAACCGCATTTCCACAGTTCAGACCCACTCCTCTCTCCAGGTTGGGGCTGCCTCCTCCCGTCCAGATTCACAAAACCTCAGCAACTCTACACAGCTTTCCTATGAGTCATAACTGACTTGATGGAAATGGGTCTGATTTTCTGGCTTTCTTTCCATAACGAATTTCCATTTAGATAAGAATGAGGGCACATCAAAAAATTTGTGGGATAAAAAAGGTAATGGAACTTTTAGAAGTCCCCTCATCTATGTAGTGACCTTACCATTGGGGCTTTTATTTCTTAGTAGATCAGACTTAATATTCCCTTTAAGGGCAGTGCCTCCGTCTATCACCCATACTCACTCTCACTACCAGCGAGTTGTTTCTGACTTCTTTTTTCTTTAAAAAAATCATTTTATCGGGAGCTCTTACAGCTCTTATCACAATCCATACAAATATCCAGTGTGTCAAGCACATTTGTACATATGTTGCCATCATCATTTTCAAAACAAGAAAGAGACGAGCCAATTAGGGTGTATTATAGCACTGACAAAACATAACATCTTGCCTCTAGTTCTTTAATGCTTTCTCACCACCACCACCCAGCCTCCACTATCATGACCCTAATTCTACCTTACAAATCTGGCTGGATTAGAGGATGTACACTAGTACAGATAAGAGCTGGAAACACAGGGAATCCAGGACAGATCAACCCCTCAGGCCCAATAATGAGAGTAGTGATACCAGTAGGGTAAGGGGAAGGTAGGGGGAGAAAGGAGGAACCCATCACAATGATCACCATGTAATCCCCTCCCAGGGGGACGAACAATAGAAAAATGGGTGAAGGGATACAGCAGTCAGTGTAAGACATGAAAAAAAAAGGATAAATTATCAAGCATTCATGAGGGAGGAGGTAGGGTGGGGTGGGAAATGAGCGGATGCCAAGGGCTCAAGTAGAAAGAAAATGTTTCTGACTTCTATCGGCCTATAGGACAGGTGAGAATGGCTCCTGTCACTTTCAGAGACTACATTGTGATGGGAGTAAGGAGCTTCATGTTTCTCTCATGGGTGGCAGGCGGTCTTGAACTGTTGTCTTCGTGATTATCAACCCAACGGGCAACCTACGACATCACCAGGACCCCTTTACAAACTTGCTCTCTCTGAAAAGTAAACGCCTTTTGACACGTCAGCCAAGCCTACTTCCTGAGCCAGAATAAAACAGTCTGTGGTCATGAAAATGGTGATAACTTCACTCATGGTGAGACTCGGTCTCACCTACTGTGGACATGTTGGTCAAGTGGAGGTGTGGTCCCGAAGAGGAAGAGCCTCCATGACATGGACTGATAAGAGTGGCTGCCCCAACGGGCTCAGAGGTCAGGGAGGATAATGGTTGATGCCACAGTGTTTCGTTCTAGTTCATGTAGGGAACCCACTGGATGTCACCTCACACCAGCCACAACCCACGGAGCACTGTCAGGTGAGAAAGCAGCCCTGGAGGTGCCCCGGTGAAGCACTTGACTGCTAACTGAAAGGTCAGGGGTTCGAACCCACCAGGGGCTCAGCAGGAGGGAAAAAGCTGTTTCTAAGATTACAGCTTAGAAAACCCTATGGGGGGCACTTCCACCCAGTCCTCTAGGGTCACTATGACAACACGTAGCAACAACTACGTCAGGTAAGAAACAGGAAGGTCCGAGAGATTAGGCTGCTTGCTCAAGGTCAAACAACGAGTGCATTGTGGCATTTGGTGATGGTCCGTGGGAAAGATTTGTTAAATGAGCCGAGGAAAGTCACCATTCAAACTCGCTCCTACCTGACTGACTACAGAGACCGAGCTTCACCATTATGCCACCTCCATCTCCCATTGCTTTCCTGGGAAGCGCTATCAGAGTCCAGCCAACTGGAGTGAACTTGGTGCTGGAAAACGTGCTGCCAGGAGCAGGCGCAGAAGCATGTTTAAATCTTCTTATGAAACGAGCAGTAGTCATGCCTTGTGGAACACATTCAAACACCCCCCTCCCCGCAATCAGCTTCCAGCTCACTCTCACCCCTCCCCTCGGCTGGCCTCCTCCCTGCGGATCTGATGCTCAGCTTGGCTTTAGGGTGATGTTTCTGGTGAGGCTGCTGGAGAGTCCTGGTCTGAGAGCCCTATGAAGACTGCTGGGGGTCAACTTGTGGAAGGGAGAGGGAATATTTATCAATATCTCCGATACCCATGCTCCTCAGCTAGATATCATCCACCCTAGAATTTGCCAGAACACAGCTCCCCAAAAGAAGCCAACCCAACCCATTGCCACAGAGTCTTTTAGACTCCTGGCCCCCGGGACGTTGCCGAGCAGAACTGAGCTCCGTCAGGTTTCCTTGGCTGTCAGCTTTACAGAAGCAGAGCACCAGGTCTCTCTTCCCTGGTGTCGCTGGGTGGGTTCAAACCACCAGCCTTATGGTGAACAGCTGGGAGAATGCACACCCCTGGCAGCCTCCGGGGATCTCTCTCTATAACCACAGTGACTTTCTCTTGGGGGATGTGGGATGGTAGGTGTCCCCAGCAATGAGCCGATGGAAACAAACGAAAGACAGGAGACCCAAAGCCACACTAGAAAGAGGGCGGTTCCCATGAAATCCAGAGAACCCGAGGGTGGTGCTTCAGCACAAGAATAGAACCAGCTGGAGTCGCAAACCTTCTGAAAGATCTTGGGCCAAAGTTTGCTTCATGTCCTGAAGCCCAGATAAGACCCATGACCACCTAAGCAAGCGGCAAGGTTTCAAACACACCCTGAAAAGGTGCATTAAAAAAGATATGGATGTATGATATAAAAAAGGCGTCCTCTTACCTGCCCTGTAATTCCAGCCAGGGAGCAGAAACTCTGTCCAACTAATCCAAGGGAAAAAATGATGAGGTGTTGGAGCATGGTGAGGAACTTGGTGCCAGGCACCTGCCAGGACTCTTGATCTATTTTAAAGACGTTTCATGAACTTCCAGGAAATTCTTTCTCATTGCAATGTTTGCGTCTCAAGGCTCCCCCCTTCCTTTTTCTGGGTTGAGCCAGCAGCTATGTGAGGCCTGCCTCTTGACAGGAAAAATGGCCAAACCCAAGGGTCTTAGTGAAATCGGGCCAGCCCCTCAGCGGTGTATATATGCGTCCTGTGAATGACAGGATATCCTGCAGGGGCGGCACCAGAACCACGACCTGAGATTGGTGTGTCCTGTGTCTCCAGTGACAGCTGGCTGCCCCCCTGTCCCTGCTGGTTCTGCCTGCCCCTCCTGGGCCCACTGCTCCACTAGCGTTTACACCACCAAGCCACAGACAGCGTGCAGGCTGCTCCTTCTAAATGCCCGCTGGCTGGCAGTCAGTCACTGTGGGAGTTCCTATCAGCAGACATGGCCCTGGGCTCAGAGAGAATCCCACAGAGGGCTGTGTTCCTGCCTGGGAGGGTGGGTGTGGGTGGTCTCACCCAGGCAGTTCGCAAACATCTATGACAAAGAATGGGATCTTTGCAGAACATATCTTTGGTTTAGACACGTCTTTCTCTTCAGTAGCAAGAGACTGAGCCTGCCATTCTCATCTTGTCCTCGAAGGGCTCAGATCTTCCTTGCCTTATGCCTCCACACCTTCCTGGGTACGCTCCCAGTATGTGCACACGATGCCACCGCAGCCCAGTCACCTAGATCACAATCCAAGGTCGCCTGTGCTAAATAGTGACTTCCTTGATGACAGGGACCTAGCCTTCATCTTCTCTGTACCTCTCACAGCAGAACACAGACACGTCTTCTGCTGTTAGTTGTGTTGGTTGACCTGACTCATGGTGACCTCATAAGTCACAAAACAAAGCAAAATTCTACCTGGTCCTGTGCCATCCCCAAGATCAGTTGTGGATCCGGACATTGTGATTTTCAGAAGCAGATGGACCACAAGGCTTTTCTTCTTTGTCGGTCTTCCTGGAAGCTCTGTTGACATGGACCCATCATCATGACAACACGAAAATGTCTACCAACAGACCTATCACAATCAATGCATGAAATCTAGACAGCAGGTGGTGCCCCCATCCTATGGATGTAGTGCGCAGGTGTCAGGTTTAGTACCAGCAAAGATAGGGTCTAAGCTTATGGACAAGATAAGCATCAACAGGTGGATCTCATGATACCAAGTTAACTAAGAGAGAACTAAGTCTGTAACGACAAAGAAGGCGTTTTACTTAAAAAGCAAATAGGTCACTTTAGGAGTAAAGTATGCCTGACCCAAGCCATGGTCTTTTCCAATTGCCTCCAGTGCCCGAGAAAGCTACATAGTGAGTAAGAAAGATGAGAGAAGAGGCGATGCCTTTGGTCCTGGCAAAGAATATCGACGAGACCATACAGTTGCAGATGAGCGACCAATATGTCTTGCGGTAGTTACCGCCAGAAAGCTCCTCAGAAGAGGGGATGATGAGACTTCTCAGAACCTACTCAGGGCACGTTTTCAGGAGGGACCCGTCCCTGGAGAAGGCCAACCGTTCGGTAAGGTCGAGGGGCAGAGAAAACGAGGAAGACCTGGATGAGCTGGGTTGACGCAGTGGCTGCAACAACGGTAGCAAACACCTTTCTGAGGATGGCCCAGGGCCAGGAAGGGTTTCACCCGTCGTACAAAGGGCGAGATGATTTGGAACGGAGTCTATGGTCAAATTTGGGTTCAGTAATCCTTCCCTTGTGATCTCTCTCTGTATCTTCAGAAATAACCCCGTGTACACGGGAATGGACCACTGTCTAGTCTGGTGCGATCCCCATCATCAGTGGTGGGACAGATAGTTGGGATCCATTGGGTTTTCACTGGTTGGTTTTCAGAAGTAGATTTCTTGCTAGTCCCTCTTAGTCTGTAAGTTCTACGGCAACCTGTTCAGCCTCTAGCAACAACACACAAGCCTCCCTTGACAGATGGGGGATGAGTGAGCATGATGTGCATGGCCTGAGAATTGAACGAGTGTCCTGAATGAATGGTGAAAATTATGCCATAGAACCATCAGTGCTTCAGGGGACCTGAGTACGCTTTTGTTGTTAACTATCGTTGAGTTGGTTCCAACTCATAGTGACCCGATGTACAACAGAACAAAGCATTCCCTGGCCCTGAGCCGTCCTCACATTTGTTGTTTTGTTTGGGCTCATTGTTGCAGCCACTGGGTCAATCCATCTCATGGAGACTCTATCTCTCTCTTGCTGCCCTTCTACTTTAGCCTTTTCCAGGGACTGGGTTCTCCTGGTAACACGTCCAACGTACAAGAGACAACGTCTCTCATCAACCTTGTTTCTAAGCAGTGTTCTTGCTGTCCTTCTTCCAAGACAGTTTTGTTTGTTCTTTTGATAGTCCATGTTACGTTTCATTTCTTCCCCTGAACCACATTTCAAACACATTTGCTCAATTGAAAAGCATCATTCACACAGCAGTGTTTAACAATAGTCAGAATAAGGTTTCGTGACTTCATTTGGTTTCTGTCCATCTCTTTTGATTGCTGTGAACAGAGATCCATTGCGTTATTTCAGATCCCTGACACCCTGTCTTCTTCCTGTATTGAGCCCCCAATAGACAAAGTGCTGAGAATGGGGCTTAGCACATCGTGGGCGCTCCATCCCTCTTAACCACGATCACAATCATACAGCTCCAACACACCCATTTGACAGACAGCAGCTCCACCAACCTGTTCCCCTAGCTGGTGTCCCTGGAAAGTGGATCTGGATTTCCTCTGTCCTGGCTGCCCCATCACGTTCTGCTGATCTGCATAGGCAGAGACCTAGGCTTTATCCTGGATGATGGGTGACAGGATGAAAGTTTTTCATTGCTGTGGGGAGTCATGGTGCTGAGTTTTTTTTTTTTTCTGAACAGGATTGGTAGGCCAAATTCATTTGAGAACCTACAAGAGGAACCTTGTTCCTCTTGGCGTTCTTGATCTGCATACTGTCCACTCATGGTTTCAATGGCAGAGGTTCTAATCTTCTCTCAGGCGAGAGGAGTCATTTGCTGGCTGACCCCTGGAAAGACCCCTGGAAAGGTGAACAGGACATTCCCCGGGTCACAGGTTTTAGCCTCCCCTGGGGCTGCAGGAACTCTGGACTGTTCAGTGACTCCCGTCCCTGCATCATATCTGTTTCTGAATTCTTAGTCCCCTGCTTCACGCGATCTTGGATAACATTTCCATGCTGCCCAACAGAGAGAAAACAGAACTAAAGAAATAGGCTTTCAAATCACAGTTCACAATTTATAAACAGTCATAAAGACACACAGCCTCCAAGGGGCGATGGAGCCCTCTTGGTGTTGTAGGGTAAGTGTTGGGCTACTAACTACAAGTTGATAGTTCAAACCCACCAGCTATACCTTGGGAGTAAGACGAAGCTTTCTGCTCTAGCAAAGATGTGCAGACTTGGCATCTCTAAGGAGCAGGTCTACTCTATCCTCTGCAGTCATGATGATTTGAAATCAATTCAACGGCAGTTGGTTCCAAGTAAGAGAGATGAATTTTTTTTCCTAATTGGGCCTGTAGATCTTACATCATCTGCACAATAAGACTTGGAATAATAACATTCTTCAGAGTTGAGGAAGAGGAAACGATCATCTCATCATCATCATCATCCTCAAAAATGTGCACATGGTGTATACCACATGATGGATTCTCCTGTAATCTTCAACTCTTCTATTTAATTCAGCCTTCACTGTGCATGGACCCTATCGATCACTTGCATGGAGGAAACCGAGGCAGAAAGAGGATGAAAGAGTTGTCTCTGGTCACAGTTAGTCAGTGACAGAGCAGGTATTTGAACTCAAGCATTCTGGATCCAGAGGTGTATGCTGAGGCTTCCACTAGTCCCAATTTACCTTCTTTGCAGCTTGAATGTGGTCTTCCTAGACTTTGAGAGGTGGCCAACAGGAATCAGTTATGAAGGACAACAGACTTAGATTTGCATCTTTTACTTTACTGGGGGAAAACAAAGCCAGAGATTGGGATCAACTTTCAGTAAGAGAAATCAGTAGGAATTAATTGGACATATTCTCTCTTCCACACCCATACCCTGCGTCCCATGTGATCCTTGATAAAATGTAGATTCTAACTTAACAGGTGTTTGCAATCAGAGTTGAAGACTTCAAGTCTGAAAGACAGTCTCCCAGGAGGAGCAATGAATTCTTCTGCCCTGGATTGTAGATTTCCTGCCAAATAGACACTTTCAGCAGAATCCAATTTTACTATCTAAATAGCTTCGTGTTTGTTTCCACTGCACATTCATTTTACCTAATAGCTGGGCAGAATTCTTATCACCAAAAACGTCTTGGCTGAAGCACAACATACTTTACTTCTCTCCTTCCTACCTTATCGTAACTTTGAGACAATCCCAAAGCAATGTATTTCTTAATAACAAGGTTATTAAAAGGGGGTCAGATTTTGTTTGTAATCTCTTTCTCCTGCCGATCTGCAATATGGAGTTCTTGTTACTCGCCATTTTCCCTTCACATTTTGGTGATAATGTCTTGTGTAAATCAAAGGAATTGACAAACTGATCAGGGATGTTGAAGTGGTTCCAACCCCGAGGTGGTTCCAACCTTTGTGCG